AAAGGTGATAGTAATAAGTAACATAATAAATAAATAATACTTTGTTGGAAATTGCAAAGTACTCCAAAACAAAAAGGTGATAGTAATAAGTAAAGTAAGAAATAAATCAGATTTTGTTGAAAATTGCAAAGTACTCTAAAACAAAAAGGTGATAGTAATGAATAAAGAAATAAATAAATAATACTTTGTTGAAAATTGCAAATGTCACTATTAGTGTTTCATTTCTGCACATACTAGTTTATATAGATTTTTAACAATTTAGAAATTACACTTACTCTGGAGCAATTCTTCTCTAGCTTTCGCCCAAGCAGGTCTCTTCGCGGTTGTAAGGATCCCAACAGGTGGAGTTCTCGGATCAGCTTTAGTTTCCATAATAGAGAGAATTTGGTGAACTAGTTCGGCCTCGGTGATGCGACCTCGGTCGGAAGCTCTAACTGGTACACTATAAAACTACCAACACCATTTTTCCTCTTATATCGATCAACAACAACCCCTTATCGAACATTACGCTGAATTCTCAGCGTCCCGAATTTAATTTTCATTTGGAAATATCGTTTGATGCAACAGTGAAACATTATTTGATTTGATCGGTAAATGTGTCATAGAAAATGTGAAGTAATACTTGATTGTGATGAGCGATGATTATGTGATCGCCCGATGTGGCTCTGTCGAGGAGGATTTGTTCGTCACCGTTCACTCCTGGTCGTCGATAAATCCGGAATATTTGATAGTGTTGAGCCATGCACAGGGCTTGCGTGCTTTTTCCATCTTTCAACTTGACCCGCTCGACCTCCAATCCATTCCTGCAACAAAATCGTATTACGTATCGTATCTGATTGTTTCAATATTAAAAATTATAAATAAATTCTTATTTTGCAAATACCGCTTCTCGGTCACGTTTCCAAAAATCCGAAAAATTATCGTTGCATTCCTTGAAGATTTCTCTACAAAATAGCTAAGTTTCGGGCTGGTGTTCTTCCGATTAGCGTCGTAATAAAATATTAAAGACAGCCGTCTCGTACCGCATCAAGTAGAGAGGCCGTGCGGTTCGTTATTATGGGACGAACCGCGTGCATTTAAAATTTTATTACGGCCTTATTTCACGTGTCACCGAAATGAAGCCTAATTATTTTGTAGAGAATACTTTAAGGAGCACGATAGTAATTATCTCGCATTTTTAAAAACGTCGACCAAAATAATCCATCACCTTCGGTTGGGGTCATGCTCGACCCTCAGGCACAGATCCTCGGTATAAATAAAAATATTCACGATAATGTCAAATCCATTATCAAAGTCCAAGAAGGTAGGTCTCCTCTCAAATCTCCTCTCGATACTATTTTTAAATTCCATTCGCTCGGTCCGCGCGAGACCGAGTAATCAGAAAGTGTTCAGACTGCAAGAGAATAGCACGGTGAAAAGAGCGGCGCGATTTGGCGAGACGTCTCGTCGAATTTGCGTTAATTCCCGAAACGAAAGAAGAAAGCATTCCTGCCGGGACTTCCTCCGCCGACGGATACAGGATACCGGGGGGCTTTGAGCTTTTCCATGCAAGGAACATGCTTTACGTTTCTCGTCGCAACGAGTCTCTTTATGCTCCCGTTCTATGGATCTTAGATCCCGGATTTCCTCGCAGACGTGCTCCCTCGCTAAATTGATTTCGGTGCGGCTTCTTTTTGTCCTCCGACGAATCAGCGTCTCGAATGACAGACCTCTTCCTTCGAGCACTCCGACCAAGATGTGTTCGACTTTCTTTCTCGGATTCGGGGACCCGTGTCGCCGATTAGCTTAGTCAGATTCTCCTCGAGGGTTAAACGCGAGCCCGGGAAAGTTTTAAGCTTTGGAAAATTCAGAATCTTCGGAAATGCGAAAATCACGCGCAATGATTTTTGTTCGTAACGTACCAAAGTATATTCGTCAATCCCAACACAAAAGTTGTTTATTAGAGAAACTTTGGGATCGAGTCTCCTTCGAACCTCAAGCTAATTAAAATTAATGTTAATAGTTTTTCTAGTTAATGCTAATAGTTCTAATTAATAGTTTTAGATTCTTTGTCCTTCATCGATGTCTTATATAAAATAGTATATGCTGCACTTCTGAGAAACCTCAGCTAACATATTTGCAATCAATTTACCTGTTCTCCGTTAGTGTTTTTTCGTATCTGTTTTTTAATCGCATATTGAAGATTTTAGTATGAAATAACAGGCTACTGATCGTCAACCATCTGCTAAGCCACTTACCTCTGTCAATTGGACTTACACCACTTTCATAGTCGATGATCGTTCAATTTCATTTACCGATTAAATTTTAAATCGTACAAAACATGGGAATTTTTTAAGAAATTAAACACGGACTAGTTATACGTACAAAATTTACATTAAATTAAGCATGAATTACGTGATGTCTCATTTTTTTCAAAAATCGACTCACACCACTTTCAAAATAAACGGTCCACATAATAATTATTATGGTGAATTTTAGGAAAACGAAGTACAATCTGACTACGGTTGCCTCTTCCAGCACTGCCCTATCCTGTTGCGTCTGACCGTTGCAGGGTGCATTCTACTTGCGATAGAACTGGACCTGTCATAGCTCTCTGAATATCAACTGTCCTTATTCCGCTACAGTAGTCAAGAGTTCCCATCTCGAGTGTCTGACCAAAGCTCACCCAATTCCACTAGTCTGGCCATATACAAGTCCAATTCCACTTCTTCTTTCAATAATGAATTTTTGAAAGTCCATAATGGGCTTAATATTTCAAAGACAAAACGTTGACAAATTTTGACAGTTCGGTTCAAAAGCAAAAATGCAATTGTTTTGATGAAGCTTAAGATTAATATTCATTAACGTAAAATAGCTTGGGGTCGTAGTAAATATTCTTCTTTAGAAGTACTCCACTAGGTGAACTGTTGTTCGTGCCATGTCTTGTTCAAAATCTCTTATATTCTGTTTTGTATTACGTTCGTCATAGTGTCTTTCGTACGTAGATAGATTTATACAATTTGTTCTGAGCTTACAGTACCAGTCCTTTCTTAACGCAAACATTATTTTATAATTAATTCTATGGTTCGGCGGTATAGATGCATAAACAATATCGACATCATAAAATGACGGAAGACACATACAGTCAGTGTAATAATAAATATTCGTACAGGAAGCAATTGAAAATAAAGCTTTACATATTTATTTTATTAATAAATTTTAAGGAAAGAAATAATTAACACTCCTACATATTTTTTAGAGTAGAATTTACATAAATTAAAGTTTATCATTCTTAATGTTAACCTCTTATTTCTTTTCTTATTAATTTTATTTTAAATTGGTTGCTGTACGAATACTTCTTACACTGACTGCATTATCAAAAGGTACTCTTACCTATCTAATAGTTCTTGGTAGTTGAGCAGCTCTGTGAGAAACCTTGCGAGGAACACTGCACCTTCTTTTTGGTTGGAAAATCGTTTAGGTCTTGCTGCTAGACCAGGATTGACGTTAATTGGTAGTGCCAGAGGAATGGAGAGGTACATATCATGTAACCACCAATCGGTTGCCTGCAACAGATAAAAATTAATAAAAATTAATTTGAATGATTGTGATCAGGGAGATGGAGGTTTTATACATATCTTTAACGTTTAACAAGAATAATACACTGTGTTTACTTTCTTATTAATTTACTTATTATTTAATTCTTAACGTTGTATGTGTATAGAATCCCTTATTAAAGAGGATAGGCCACATAAAGTATTATCAGTTGATTCTTTGGCAGTAGAACTTGTCAGTATATAAGAGCTATATATAGGTTGTCCAGAAAGTTCGTTCCAGTTTTTAAGAAACATTCAAAAACACGTTTGAATTTCAATATATATTTATTGAATTACATAGGTGTCGTTTCGTTCCACAACCTTTCCACCTTTTAAGGGTATGCATGTTATTTGTTTTCAACCACTTCGATATGTTCAGACCTGTACCATCTACCAAAAATCGACATGGACTTTCCGGACAACTCATAATAAATTTAGCGCTTCCTAAAAAATACAAAATTTGTACGCCTGTATACAGCGTACTTCTGTTTTCTGATAATGTTCTGATAATTGCCACTTACTGCTGTTTAATAATCTAGAACTTCGAATCGAATAAAAATCTACGATACTTTAAAGTGTTAATCAATAATTTTTTAATGGTATTAGGTATTATCTCTTTGGTACGTATCTACCTTTTAAAAAATTGTTGATTATTCCTGCGGTTTAATAACTTAGAATATGTAATATTTGAAAGTTTTGATTAATAATTTTGTTCACGGTAAAGTTGCTTTAATAACTGACTATATGCCGACGCGGCGAACGAGAATTGAAGCGTCGCGATCGAACGAGGCTCCATTGTTTAATCCATGTTTAATGACGCGTCCCCGTAATCCCCGTTGCCTTTTTGAAAAAGCGTCACAGCTGCCGCGTTTGCCGACAACGATTACTTCGAATTTTCCGTTATTATCCCTGATTAATATGTCAGATTTAACTAAACGTTCTCAACAATAACGAGTAATTGCCCACAAATAACTCGCCGAAAGAGTTATTAATTAACAGTATCTATTACATAATATATGATATAACGCAGTGGTGGGCACAATCGTAATCACAATTACGATTACGATTGTAATCAAATATTTCAGATTTCCGATTACGATTACGATTACAATCGTTATCACATTTGATTACTATTATATATATATATTATTTGTTATTATTTGATTACTATTAAGATTTTCAGGTGTTTTTAGATATAGAAATTTTCCTTAAAACCGACTTCAGATTCCTCGCCCCAAAAAACTTAGAAAACCATGCTTTCGTTACAATCAAAAATTAAAAATTTTCAGTTAAAATATTTCATCCCAATAGGACCTAGATAGAGTAACTTTTAGACATTTTTAATTTAAGATGATATAAGACTAAGATGGAAAGATTTAAATTGTGAAATATTTCTGTTCATAATATTGATATCAATAAGATCCAGATCGTTCCTTTTATATCACATTTATTTAACATTGACAATACATTGAGTGGCTTGTATACGACTCGATCAACAAAGAACGACTAACTGCTAACGACTGACCACGAAAACAATGCTCGGTTCCTTTCTCACCTGGAATCACATACACTACACACATACTTCGTGAGCGCACGATCCATCGATACTTAATATATTGAAATGTATCACACATTCAACAATTTCATTTTATAATTCTAATACAAATGTTTATTCAACAGATCATAAATAATCGGTCTTTTACTCGTTAATGAAAATAGGTGTCCAGAGGTTTTTTGACACGTTGAATATAATATATAATTAGTTTTCACGAAAAACTGTTTTAAGCAGTATATAATTGAAGCAACGATAGGAGCTTTTTTTAAAACGATTTCAGGTCACCGCGAGGAACTCTCACGAGGCAAAGATATGCATGTTTCAATAACTTGTTCCCGTGTCGATAAAATAGATTAGGTTTTCTTTGGGAACGTCTATAGGTAGAACGACTCGAAGCGCGGTTATTTATGGAGGTCTGTGATCGGTGCCATTACACTTACACGGATTCAACGGGGATAAATTTGGAATGAGAACGATCGTAAGTTTTGTCAGACATTGGACGAGCTATTGAAAAAACTATATCTCTACTCGACGTCGCGATACGTACACGTTTTATTACCGATGGAAAGTTGTTCTTTACATAGATTTCTATTTCCGCCACCGACAGTTCACCCTGTCGGTGAGAAATGTCTGACAGTGTTTCTATGACATTTCTTTGAAGACACCTGTAATGCCGAGTCGAGGAATGAAAATTGAGGGAAAAGTTGTAGATGTCACAGACGGTTTACCAATGCGAATAGATTCGTTTAAAATAGGATTACATATAATCGGAGATAAACAAAAATTTTATTCGTGTAATGGATTAGAAATCAATCCGAAGTGTACAAGTATAATTTATGCGTCATGGTATTTGAAGGAGGAGATGAATTAACTGCTTTAAATTGTGAAATATATCATTTTATAATTCTAATTCAAATGTTTAGCAGATCGTAAATAATCGGTTGTTTGTCTCTTATTCATTATTCGAAATTTGTATTTAGCATTAAACTTCTGGGCACATTTCGCCTGACGTGACGTGAAATGTATGTAACTACGATAAAAATTGATTTGGACAGCCGTAAATTGGACAGAATCTTAGAAATACGTGTATAGAAGAACGTAATAAATTTAAAAAGTTTAGGTCGATTACTTCGACTGCAAAAAAATCGTGAAAATTGCTTCGAAACTGCAGGTCACTCAACAGTCAAATATTAAGAAAATATCATCTTATAAAAAATTCCAAGACGAAACTCTTTTATATTTACAGTTTATTCATTCGACGTTTAGTATCAAAAATAAATATCAAAAGCTTAAAAGTCCTTTTCCCTGAAATTCAAGTACATTTTAAAATAGTTTCATCTGGTTATTCTCCATAAGCTGATACTTTTTAAAAATTGATTTGACGAATTTAATTAAGAATATCTTTAAAGGTACTTCATTCGACGTTTAGTTTCAAAAATACATATTAAAAGCTTAAAAGTCCTTTTCCCTGAAATTCAAGTACATTATAAAATAGTTTCATCTGGTCATTCTCCATAAGCTGATACTTTTAAAA